ATCAAATCAAATCAAATCAAATCAAATCAAATCAAATCAAATCAAATCAAATCAAATCAAATCAAATCAAATCAAATCAAATTCAATGTCGAGTGATGCCAATAAAAACTACTTACCTTGGATTTTAGGAGGAATAGCTGGATTAGGATTAATTGGTTTAGTGGTTTATTTTGCTACTCGCAAAGGAGAAAATAAATAATGCTTAGTGATTGAAAAGATATTCATGAGGATTTTGCTGAAAGATTAGGATATAAAACCTACCAACAAAGATGAGAAGAACAAGGCTTAACTTACCAAGATGCTCAGCAATGAATTCCAACCGGACTTAAACCAGCTGACTATAGCTTTGCCTCTTATTTAAAAAAAAATAATATAACTCCGGAACAATATGCTCATTATAAAAACAAATCTCCCCAAGAACAATTAGATTATTTTTATGGTAATAAATCCTCATTATACTTAATTAATTTAAAAAATTTAAACTTCAATCAACCAAGTGAATTAATCTTGGATAATTATCCTAATTTAAAGGGAATAGATGGAGACTATGTTTCCAATCTCACCCAACTGACTATCACTGATTGTCCTCAGTTAGGAATAATAAGTATTAATAAAACTAAAAACCTTCAACAATTAATTCTCCATAATTTACCTAAATTAAGGGGACTTTATTGTGAACACAATAAGCTAACCACCTTAGATTTAAGTGATTTTGTTAATTTAGAAGAAATTATTTGTCGAGATAATCAACTCACCCAAGTTAAATTGCCCCAAGGAGAAAAGTTAGAAACATTAAATTTAATCAATAATAACCTCAACCAAGACTTATCTTTTTTAAAGGATTTGGTGAATTTGAAAAAATTGTATTTAAATAACAATCCCTTATATGGTAGTTTAGAGTATTTAAAAGAAGTGAGTAAGTTGGAAAGACTTGATATTAGTGATACTGATCTGGATAGTGGTTTAGAATATTTGCCGGATAGTTTGGAAGATTTTAAGTGTTCAGCAGACCAAAGAAAAGATGCCGAAGTAAAAATTATTGAGCAAGAATTACGAAAACAAAAATGATTTTATGAAACTATAGACAATACCACTCTCCACCAAAGATGAAAACAAGCCAACTTACCTAAACTCAACCAACAAAAACTCCAAGACCAACTTAAACTCCTCCAAGAACAAAAAGAAAAACTAATCCAAAGAATATCTGACTTAGAAACCTTAACCACCGAAAATGAAAGGTTAATCAAAGAACAAAAAAACAAAATAGCTAACAATCACTACCATTTTTTCACCGAAGAAGAAAAAATAGCCTTAAAAGAATTAATTAAAGTCCATCGAGCTTACGAAGAAGCTAAGAAGTTTAAAGAAGAGACTGATGAACTTTATGACAAGCTTCATTCTCTTCGAAAAAATCTAAAAGATAAACTAGGCAAAGAATTTATCGAAGCCGTCCAAAGTGTTTTAACTGATTTAGAAGAACTCTACCAACGAGAATGAGACCTCCAAAACCAATTAGCAGAGCAAAAACAAATCCCTGACAGTCTAAAAGCCATTGAAAAAAACATAGCCGACATTAACAAAAACATCAAAGCCCTCGAAGCTAATCCTAAGCAAACAGTGAATAATTATATTACTACTGGGGATATCGAAGTAATAGGAGGTCATGTTATGATTGGCAACACTATTGGTGATAATACTAATTTAAGCCACAACAAATATGCTATTAGGATTGAAGAAATAACCGAAGAAACTGAAATATTGGAAGCCAAAATCCAACAAGCCGAAACTTACGGCATTCCTGGCTCCTCTAAAAACAATTAATTTCCTCACAAATCCCTACTAACCCAACTTTTCCTTACTTACTTGGCTTAATCAACCCCAAAAACCAATCCCTACTCCGATAATCCACAAACCTTAATTCTCCTTCCTTCAACATATTCACCCACTTGCCAACTACTTTTCCCTTATCTCTAATTCGGCAATTCTTTAATTTAGACTTGGCTTTTTCCTCTAAGCCAAAGCAAAAATTAACCAAACCCTGACCAGTATCCTTCTTATTCCGAGTAAAGTGCATCAAAGCATATTTCTTGTGAACTTTCCTTTCTCCCAGCTCACAGAAAAAGAAGTCTTGTATAGCATAAAGGATTTGGTATTTCTTAGGACGGGTAATCATAAAATCATCCCAATTCCGAGTAAAAGGATTTAAAGTTTCCTCTAAGGCTAAGGAGTGGACATCCTCCCGGGGTTTTACTAGGTTGATATATAAAAACCATTGCCCGTCTTTACTTCAAGCTTTTACTCCTTCTTTTTTGCCTTGCTCTTTGAGCTTTTCGGCTTGTTGCCGGAGAATGAAGAGAATGTCTTGCTCTTCAAAGACACTTAAAAACCAACTACTCCAAGAATAAGGGTTAGCTAAAAAGGTGATTTTTAAGGGTTGGTCCTTCCTTTTTAAGCTATCCACTAAGTCCCGGAAATTAAATTGCTCACGGGGTAAGAATTCTTGGTCGATCGGGATAGCTTCCTCGTAAACAATTTCGGAGACAGTTTTGGCTCGACCACCTCGGGCTTTTTTGTAAGAAAACAAGTCGTAAAAGAAAAGGTAAAGTTCACCTTGGTAGTAGACTCCTTTTTCTTTTACTTCCCATTCTTGGGGCTTGAAACTAGGGATTAATCCTTCTCGTTCGATTTCTCACAGGACATCTAAGAAAAGGGGCTTGGAGCATTCTAGGCTGTCGTGTCAGTGTCGACGAACTCAAGCAAAGAATTCTCCTTTTTGAATGATACGGGTAAAGAGTTCGAGGATTTTGCTGAAAGTTTTGCCGGTCTTTCTTTCGGTGAGGTAGATATGAAAGAGACCAGGTTGTTTATAGATACTGGGTCAGTTGATTAGTTTAGTCATGCCCCCTCCCTAATCAATAAACTAACCAAGCATCTAATTCATGGACACTAATCTTTTGCTTATTTAGGCTTCAACCTTTGCCTCTGCCTTTGGCAAACTCTAAGCCAGGTATTTGTTTAGTTCCTTTTAATAGCTGGCCTTTCAGGGTTTTGACTTGGTTCACTGGCACACCCTTAATCTGCTCCACCGGCAAAACAGCCAAAGCTCCCAGTAATTTAAAAAGGCTGGTCATATCTTTCCCTCGCAACCTTACATAATTCGTGCTTTCATAAAGCAAAATATTGGGCTGGTATACTTTCACTAACGAAACAATAAATTCATAGTGTTTTTGCCAGTCTTGGTCATGATAGCAATTAAATTCCTCTTGCTGACCATTCCGAAAATAAATCCCGGTAGTTCCGGTTCCACTCGGATCAATGCTTAGTGTTCTATTCATAGCTTAAAAACTTTTTCACCAGCACATATGGGCGAACAAGACCAACGGGGAAGGGATATTTGGCCGGTATTGTCAGGGTCAGCGAGAGTAGAACTCTCTGCTACTCCACAGACAACCATCCAGCCAACATCTCCTACCCGTTTGTGTCTTGGGCGAGTTTATTTTTAGGTTTAATTTACTCTGTAAATTAGTTTGGGTTAGGTAGTTCATAATTACTTGGTTTTGGCTTGGGGATAGAAGTCTAAAAGTTGTTTGTTAGCAATCCATTTCTTATACTTAAAGACTAAATTCTGACCGAGAATGGCTAATTTAGTGATTTGGGTTCATTTCTCTGGGGGCAAGTCTTCCTTGCGGGCTTGGAGGGTTTCTTTGCTATTACCACCTCCCAGTTTGAGAACGTAATAAATTCGTCCTTTGTTTTTGCCTTCTTTGAACTTTTTTTCTTGGATTTCGGAGACTGAGCCAAAGAGAGAGTAGGTGGTGTAGTTTTGGGTTTCTTCGGAGGTGAGGTAATAGGAGTTGATTTTTTTGGTGAGTTCACTGAGCAAGTTAGATTGGATTTCGGTAGTGGGTTTGCCTAATTTTTTAATCAGGTGTTGTTCAATAGCTTCTCGGTCAGTTATTTGTTTAGTTTCTAATTGGCTTCAAAAGTTATTCATAATAAGGATTTTAACTAAACTTAAAGCCAAATAAAAACCGCTTAATCTGACAAGTCAAACTCACACGAAAGCATATGTTTTTGGCATGTCATAATTGCTTGGTGAGCAAAAATTGTTAGCTGAGTGCTGGCTTAAATTCTCTTGGCTTTTGACCGGGATTTTTTCTGCTCTTCTTATTTTTATTTCTTTCAGGGTAAACCCTTCAACAAATAACGCTACCCAAAGATACCACTCTTAAAAAAAGAGAAAGTAAAAAGAGAAAAAG